AGCTCCAGCAGGCAGGTTCTAGTTTACTAACAGCTTTAAAGGGGTGTTATCACTTTTATATGTTAAAATAAATGTGTATGTATGTATGAATATATATATATATATATATATATATATATACTTATTTATTATTATTCATTTATTTTTGTTATGGCTGATGTTGGAATAATAAAACTAAGTTAAATTAATGCAATACCATTCAAAAGTTTGGGGTCAGTAAATTTAATTTTTTTTTTTTTTTTTTAAGAAAGCACATTTCATTTTGATCATTTTTTAAATATGTCTACATTAAGTTTCAGTTAGTTTCACTTTCATTTAAACTAAACAACAATTAGAAATGTTGCCTTGGCAACTAGCTGAAATAAGTTTAATTTGTTTATATTGTATTTTATTTTAGTTGTGATAATAACCCTGTCCCAAACCATCACCCAGTCTGCCATTGGTCAAGCAAAACAGACTGTGATGATGCATTTCTACAGTAATTAACGTCATAAATCTACTTTTTTTATTTTTAATGTACACTTGTAAGACAATGCTTTGTTTTCTTAAATTGGCATTAAGTTATATAGTTGACACCGTTTCTAATGCATAGGGTGAGACATTTTTCTTTTTTTAACCAACATAATCTCTATATTTTTATTTTCCTCTTTTAGAAAGTCAAAGCAGTGTAAAACACTATAGCAGATGAGGGGCAATGAGAACACACAAAATATTTTTTATAGTTTCCGTTCACCACTGTAGAATTTTACTCAACTATGATGACTTCTGCTTCTGAGAACCCCTGAAATGTGAAAAAAAGTGTCCATTTAAATACCAAATATGTTCTGATTTATAAAGCAAGTATTCATATTTTAAAATCTTTGTACTTTTTATTTATTTTTTTTATCATTTTGCAGTTTAAATTTAAATGAACTATAAATGTAGGCCGTAATGATTGAGTTTAATGATTTCTGCTCGTCAAAACTAATAAAATGAATTGCAGTACAACTGTTTTCAACATTGATGATAAATGTTTCTTGAGCAGCAAGTTAGCATATTAGAATTATTTCTGGAGGATCATGTCACACTGAAGACTGGTGTAATGGCCTTGACATAACAGGAATAAATGACATTTTAAAGTTGGCATAAATGGAAGTGTTTTATCCCGTGTTGGCGTATATCTGCGTGCAACGGCTTTTGAACGAGAAAAAATGTAGATTGGTTTGATGTTTGATCATTGCTGATAATAAACGCTGTGAAAAAAAAAAAAGTCAACTGATTTCATGATGATTTTTAACATTTTATCCATAGTTTAATATATTTTAAGTATTTAAAAAATATATATATATAGAAAACTGTTGTTGTTATTATTTTACAATATTATTTTTTACTGTATTGTCAGTAAATGCAGCCTGGGTGAGCACTTTAAAACCTTTTTAAAAATCTTACCAATCCCAAACTTTTGAATGGTAATGTAATAAAATGTTTTTATTATGTACTACATCGGGCTGAGGAGCATCTTGATCTGCGCTCTCCTCATCTGGCACCTTCGCTCTGCCAAGTTCAGCCGCATACAAGACGGGGTTCGTTGGTTGCGTAGTAAGAGGGATGTCCTCCGAATGGAAGCAATAGCTTCAGAGAAGTCACCCTTGCGACAGGAGGTTCCGGATGAGAGCGAGAGTGAAGAGGACCCTTTCCTTGTGGAGGGTCACTGAATGTACTGTAACAGTGTTCAAGAATAAAATGGTATTCTGTCTTTATGCTAAGTTCGTCAAATGACTCTGTGAACAACAGATTCAGCTCTGTTAACGTGTTGTAAACGGTGTATTTTGCAACATTTAGTCTCCTAAACTTCATATATGGATTTACCAAGCTTGTTGCTAGTGGTGGATGCACAGCTAGTTCGGGGTTCAAGCGTGTAGTGCATTGAATGAACAGCAGGTGGAAGTAAAGCACCTAGACCAGGGCTGTCCAAACTCGGTCCTGGAGGGCCGGTGTCCTGCAGAGTTTAGCTCCAACCTCAATTATGGGTATAAAATAATGGCTTTTTATATATATATATATATATATATACACTCTCACAGTGGAGATCAAAATTAGAGGATCTTTAAATACTTGTTTTTTCTTCTGAAATATTAATCTTCACTCAATTTAAAGGATTAGCTGTAGGTATACCACAGATTCACTAACATGTTTGACAAAATAACCAAGGCATTTCAATAAAAACCTTTATTTTGTGGAAAACACCATGATCAAAATTAGAGACAAGTAACCACTGTAGCACGAAAGAATATTGCAACTCAAATTCTGGAGGGTTACAGCTGTCAGAAATTGGTAGGAAGTGTAGAGGCCCTTGCTTTGAATGGCTTCAGCACATCTGCGGCCGCAGGATATCACTAGTTTCTCACACTGCTCTTGTGTGGTCTTGGTCCATTCTTCTTCCAGTCTCTTCCATAGTTCGGTAACTAGTGTCCAAAGATTTTCCAGAGATTGTCAATCAGGTTTAGATCAGGACTCTTGGCTGGCCAATTCATTATTTCAATGTTCTTGGCTTCAAGGAACTGTTTTACCCGATTTGCAGTGTGACGAGGGCATTGCTTTGCATGATAATTGCAGGCTGATTGGGAGATGCTTGCAGCGAAGGAACCACATGTTGCTGAAGGAGGTTCTGATAAATATTTGCATTCAGTCTGCCATGTAGCTGTATAAGAGGCTCAACTCCTGCTGCACAAAACATGACACATCTTCCTCCACCTTTCACTGACTTCTTTACACACTTTGGCTTCAGCCAAACACAATGTTTCCCATCAAATAAATTAAACTTGCTCTCATCACTAAAGTGAACTTTGGATCATTTCTCCTCTCTCCACACAACATGCTCCTCAGCAAAGGATGAGTCTAGCCTTTTGATTCTTTCTGCTGATGAGAGGCTTGGTCACTGCAGAGTGCGCTTTCAGTCCGACTTCTAAACGTGCAGAGACAGATCCTTACCCTGTTCAGCGATGAACTGGCGAGCAATTCCAGCTGCAGTGTTGAACCGATTCCCCATTGAGAGTCTCCGCATTATCCTGTCCTCTCGTGCATTTGTCTTATGTGGGACTTGAATTAGTGTCATTGTAAAGCTGCAATATTCTAGAAATCACAGATTTGGAATGACCAACTTCTCTTGCAGTGGCTGAAAGGGTCATCCCTTTGGCCTTCATCTGGACCGCCTCCTGTCACAGGCTTTCAGTCAACTTAGAGTGGCCCGCCATTTTACAATCTCAATGAAAATTGGAGGAATGCTGCCAGTTAAACAGAGATCGTCATATAATTAAGGAAATTAGCACCAGGTGCAAGATTAACTCCAATAACTTGGAGGTAAGTGTTCTCTAATTTTGATCACAGTTCTTTTTCAAATATCTCTTATACGTTTTTTATATCATATATACTGTATGTATGTATATATACCCCTTCATTTTCTTCACATTTTGTTTTGTTGCTGCCTTATGTTAAACTGCTTTAAATTTGTTTGTTTTTCCACAACAATCTACACTTCATACACCATAATTGTCAAGCAAAAAAACTGGTTTTTAACATCTTTGCAAATTTATTAAAAATAAAAAACTAAAATGATTCCATTGCATAAGTATTCATACAACTGTACATATCTGGGACAGTTGAAATTTAGCTCAGGAGCATTCATCTTGCTTGTAGATGTTATTACACTTCAAGTGAAGTTAACCTGTGGCAAATTCAATTGAATGGGTATGATTTGGAAAGGCACACACGTCTTAATAAAAGGTCTAACAGCTGGTTATGCATATCAGAGCAAAAACCAAGCCCTGAGGTCAAAAGAACTGCCTGTAGAGCTCAGAAACGGGTTTGTGTCAAGCCACACATCTGTGGAAGAGTTCAGAAAAAAAAGAGAAAGTCTCTGTTACCCTTAATGGAAGAAGTTTGAAACAACCAGGACTCTTCCTAGAGCTGAGGGCCTTGTCTAGACTGGT